CAGGAACGAAAACTCCGGGAAGTTGACATGTACATGAATCGACCACAAATTTGTCGGCTCCCTCTCAAGAGTACTTTTTTGAATTTATTCTTACCTGTTTTCAAACATAATAATTGTTATTCAATGTCTAATTTAATTTCTTTTTCGGCCTTACAAGTTTGTGTCTATCGCTCAGTGGTTGTGGTTTCCTTGGTTCTTATCATTTTGGCGCTGTGACTTGTATGCTGAAAAATGGACAAGTAAGTCGTCCTAGCAAAGTCGAGACTGTTCCATTTCATTTTTAAAATGGCTCCTGATAACTCGTTCATGATAATCGTTTTCTTAGCACATAATCTCTCGACTAGAACGAGTGAGTGGTGCATCGGCTGGAAGTTTGGTAGCTTCGGTTCTATTGCTCAATCCTGGAAAGTGAGTCGCTAAGTCCGAAGTCCTTCTTATTGAGTATACGCTTTTTCTGGTTCTATCCATGAAAATAACTAGTCCTTTTCTCAACCAATACTGCTTCCTATTTAGGATTGAACCTGCGCTCGATATACTTTATAGTCTAGGAGATGAACTTAATCGGTTACGTTTCGGAGCCCTCACACCAGGCTATTTTTTGAATGAAAAATTGATAAAGGTTAGTTGTTCCGCTGTTGGTGGTCATTTTTTGTGAAGGCGATATGAGAAAGTACTACGATAATGAGGAGCAGTGCAGCCACTTTACACATGGCACAACTTAAATATAACAGCAAGATCCTTCAAAAGTGGTTGTGACTCCACGTTGAATTGCTAGGATTCTATCGTAACTTTCCAACTTATTGTGATTCTGTGGGCTTTCCAGATAGTAGAGGATTTCATACCAAATGACATCTCGCCAGCGCAAGGAAGATTATATATCTCGCTCACTTTGAGGAAGGTATGCAGTTTCAGTGAAATCTTCAGTAACCTTCATAGTGAACTGTGTATTTAGGAAAGGACGAACAAACTTATTTGCAATTATTCAAGTAGAAATCACTTGATACAATGTTTGATGGCGAGTTGTTATATACCGATGTATTCGATGGGTTACGGCGCTGAAGCGCCAGTGATTGATGGTCAAGTAAGTTAGCTTGTACGTTTAAAGAAAAGAATTATGGATTTTAATGGATAGTGGACTCACAGTTCTCATCCTAGTTGAATGTTGCACTCAAATCGTTACAAACCAAGCTAATCAAGAATCTTTTGAAGTTTTTTTTTT